TGATAAACTTTGTTTCTATCAGGATTTTTTGTTCAGTAAAAATGTTTTGCTACGAAGTTCTAGATTGTTTCAAAACTGTCGTTAGTACTGTTACAATTTAGGTATTCAATTTCAAATTTCATATTTTTTATATGAAACAAAAATAAATGGCACAAACAAACTGACAAATACTTTCTCTTAATTACATTTCAACAAACAGAATAATGGGTAATCGGTGGGCTTAGCTATAATATGTTATGGGTAAAATAAAAAAAATTGCAATAACTTTTCAACCGTAATTTCTACAGCAGATGGGATTGCAGCATTTTGTTTAGAGTTAAAAGCCTATAAACATACTACATTTTGATCGGTTCAGCATTTTTCGTGAAAGTCTGTTTTGTTTTCAATCATCTTTATAGTTTTAAAGAAAAATCACCATTAAAACTAAAAGTGCAAACAATTAAAAAATAACATCTGGAAATATCTTTAATCCCACCATCTTTTCCCGTAGAAAATTTTAAGAGAAAAGTCTGCTATCATATTTTTTTAAAGTCGATAGAAAAAAAAATAAACGCAAGGTAATGCTAACTTAAACCAAATTTAGTTAAAAGAGAATATTTGGTGATCATCAACAGATACACAACTAGTTTGATTTACAAAAAAGTTTTTCAACAAGCATAACAAGCTTAACATGGTATTTATTTTAGTCTTAGGAGGTGAAAAAAGAATTTTAATCAAGCTTTATGCTTGCAAAGCATCCAACTTGTTTTTTTTTTTTTTTATATTATATTATCATTATGAAAATCTCGAGTAGCCTAATAATCTCTCTTGGAGTTAATTTAATGACACCTTTCGTGACAGACTTAATATTTTACGTTTTAAAGTTTCCTTTTCCAGCACTGTTTGTTGCCATTGAACTTATTTGAGGGGTTTTAATAAAATTAATTGCTTGAAATATATTCCTTTCGAAAATAGATATATTAACAACGTTTATTAACAAACCATCGATTAGGAGCAGGTTAAAATGGAACTATATGTATAAGATCATTCTAACCTTAAATCTTAAATGTATTAAACATCCTCAAAGATTATAACTTAAAAATTGGCCACGTGGTGGAATCGTTTCTTCACAATATGCCTTAAAAAATCATAAGGAATCATTTTTGGGTTAAAAAGGTTAGGAACACTTATGTTTACAACAATTAATAAAAACATGTACAAAATATAACAAGTATAACAACATTAGTAATTGGTTGCACGCTATATGAGAGTAAACCAATAAAAAGTCCGTAAAACAATTTATTAAACATATATTCTTGCCAAAAGTTATTTTTACAATTACAACCCAAAAGCGAAGGTAAAATTGACGAAACATAAAAATACAAAGATTTTAAATTATCAGCAATAAAATATAAATACTAAAGGTTATACCAAAACCAACCTGTTCAAATCCCCTGTTTAAAAGTATGCAATATTGTAGATCTGATATTTTACTTTATATAACTATGCAATTTCTATTCAATATTGTTATTGTAGCATAATGCTTCGTATTTTCTTTTATACAACAGAATTAAAAATGTATATTAAAATTCACTTTGCGTATGCTGAATTCGAAAAATTTTCATATTCGAAAAAGGTGCAAAGCATTTTTATATAAATTTCTTTAATAACATAAAAGAATCTTATGTCTAGCTTTGAACATAAAAGAAAGACACCACAAAGCCTGCAGGACCCAACACCATTTTGTTCGGTTTTCCATTATCATTATTAAAAACATCAGTAAATACTTTATCCTTTATGGGGCTCCTTTAGTTAAAATTGTTATTAGGGTAGAATTTGAGTTATTTTTACTCTTTAATACATAGTCTTAAACATTTTTTCGTTATACTGCAGCAAAAACGGCCGTTTTTAATGCATGCGTTGTACTTCTAAAGTAGCATTTTTACTCTCTAGGGAGTAAAGTTCAATTTTAGTCTCAAGGGAGTAAAAATCAGCTGTTGTAAATGCAACCTACTCCACTTTATTAATGGATTTTGTAAATATAAATTTACTTAAAAATAGATAATAAAAAATTCCAATAAAGTTACAATAAGATATATTTAGGTTCTATGAGTTATATTATAACAATCCCATGGGTTATTATTTTGGTCTAGGTTTTATAGATGGGCTAGGTAACAATTTGGAGAGCAATTATCTTGATCTAGGGGTTGGTTCGTGCCGGGTATGAAATTCTGATAGGCTAATTAACTTATAATTTATACTAAACTTAATGAAGGCTAAATAATATGAGATAATAATGAGAGTAAAAAAATTTAGGCTATAAGTTCTTAGTTTGAAACAGTCATTTGAATTTAGTCTATTCACAATGGTGTTGATGGTGGTTGGAAATTAATGGTGATGTTTAAATGTTTATTGAATTTGATACTACAAATTTTTGTTGAATACTTATCTTCTTTCTTAATGTCTCTTTATAATCAATATTTCTATATGTTCTGAATGTTAATTTTATAGACTTTTGAATATTTAACCACTGGAGACTTGGCTCCCACATCCATCTAGATTTATATCTTCCACCACAAGCATATTTTTCTTCCTTTGTTTTAGCTTGTCTTCCAACAATGCTACTTCACACCTGGACACTGGTCAGTACATAAGAAATATTTCCTACCTAGACACCATTTCATTTTAGAATATTATTTTTGAATACAGTTTTTCTTCTTCACTAATTTATATTTAATTGGATTTAAATATTTTTTTGAAAATACAGTAATTAATAAATATTGAAAGTAATTTAGTTACAATTCACATTTGAATACATTCCTGTTTTATCTCATAAACAGTTGTAAATTTCGATTGTGGCAATCATATTGATCGAAATTATTTATTGATTGATCCATTAGGTAAGGTTTTAACCTATTGTTGTCGATTGCTCGACATATCGATGGTATAATGTACTGTAACACAATTTTAATAGATGGAATGATTGCATCACTTACTGAACAGCTGCTTATTTGCATTAGCAGGATTGAAAACAAGCTGGAAGTCGTTTTGAGAAGTTATCTTTATATTCAAATGCTTTCGTTTTCTAGCTTTGTTTGTTAATTAATGATGCAATATGACGAAAAATATAGTTCCCCAAACGGGCAAAAAGTGACTTTAACCCTCGCTCATTTCCCGACCTCGGCTTCGCCTTGATCGTAAAACTTGACCTTGGGTCAAAAAGAGACACTTTAGGTCCTAGTGATGAAATAAACTATTTCATCCTCCCAATTTTACACGAAATTAACTTAGGTTACTTCAGCTCTGTAGAAATGGAATTTCAAAAACGGCTACGATTGAAACTGTGATTTCCTCTTGGCTATAGTGCTGCAAACCGAATAATTATAATATAATTTTCTTTAAGACATAAGTTTCAATGTTTTATGCATATTACATAATCAAATGTTCATCCATAAAAAATCCAATGTATGTTTGTTTGTTTGTTTGTTTGTCCTTTATGGACTTCGAAACCGCTTGACAGATTGCAATAAAACTTTCAGGCATTATTAAACATTATTCAAGGATGGTTTGTGTGAAGTTTGGTGCAGATCCGTCAAAAGGGCTCCGCCCCAGTGGCTCCATTTAAATCCTATAGAAATTCAGTGATTGTTTAAAGCTATAAAAGTATAGTGTGTAATCTATTAAATGTATTTATTTGATGTCCAAGTTCTGTAATGCCATATCAAGCTAACATAATCGTATCATAGGGAGGACCTCAGTGATGCATCTCATAACCAGTTTAATGATTCAACATCAATCACCAAAGCTAATCTGATTAGTTCTGTCACAGAAACCCCTTAATCAGCTGATTATAGTTACCAACATAAGCTAGAAATCTGTTAGTATTTCATCGCAAGCAAAACTGACAGCTGATTTGATCTTTATCACAAAATAGTCCTATAAATCAATCGCCAAAATAACAAATTGGTTACTGTAAATCATTGACTTTGTTTAGTAAAATTAAGATCAACTCTATACAAGCTTAAGCTAGTTTTTTACTCAAATATGTCACACAATAGTTGAATAAGGTGCAATACAATACATTTGTAATAAATTAGTCTGCCACTTACTATATTTTTTGGTAATAATTAGCTAACATAATAGCTCTTTGCGGATGTGCTCTAAATATAACATGAAAATGAGACGCCCTTAAGATTGAAATGACTTAAAAGTTAAAGTGATAGAAAAAATTATATTTGATCGCAGTACATTCTGTCAGTAGATTATTTAAACATTTTTTTTTCTTTTAGCTGGATACAGTCTCAACATGGGGACAGGAGTCTTTTAACATTAGTGTGTAAAACACTAAACTAAACTTTATGAAAAAAGAGTTTTTAATGTCTTTTACACAAGCTACATACCTAAGGCTACATTTTAATTTTTGTTTAATTTTCTCCAGAAATAATGTATTTTCAAATAGAATCCTCTAACTTCATATATTGGCTGCTAGGTTACATTGGACTGGAGAATGTGAAGCTTACCAAAATACTGTAAATCCTTTCCCCACCCTTTTGTAGATTATTAAACTTATTGATTCGTTACTACAAGTTTTACAACTAAGAAACATTTATATTGACACAAAAATGGCTTAAATCGAATAGATTTAGCATTGCATGAGTATTCTACCAAAAACTGTTTTAGTCAGCTGTTGCGATGCGCAAAAACGTGCTCCTTCTTTCCAAAAATACCTAAGTCAGAAAACATCCTAACATAAAACAATCTTTTTAAATGTGTTATGTAAAAACGTCACTATTACAGTGTTGAAATAACTTGCTTCATAAAAGTTTTAAGAGCATTTTTATCAAAATAAATGTTGAACATACTGTTATAAACAAAAAAGTTAGTTCCTGAAAAATTATTTTTTTTTCACTTACCATTTTTGGAATCTACCTCTGCAATTTTCAGTAACTATGGTAGTTCTATATATTAAATATACTGTGCATTATAAAATGTGAATAAGTTCATATCAAATGAGCCAAAAGTAAAACTCAAGTACATTTATTACATAGGCCTACAACCACAATCATCGTCCTCCTCACTCTTTTTAGATGGTCGATTCCCACTTTTTGACCTTTTCCCTTTCACAGATTCACACTGACCTCCCTTTGCATTACGCTTTTCTTTTCTTTTCACTTCTGAACATTGGTCTCCACGATTCTTTTTTTCTTGCACCTCAGAACACATATCTCCATCGTTTTCCTTTTCTTTAACTTCATCACACTCATCATTCTTCTTTTCACTCTTGCCTTTCACCTCAGAACATTGAGATCCTCTATCTTTACTTTTCCCTCTTTTACCTTTTACTTCAGTGCACTGTTTACCTTTCTTGTCCTTTTTTCCACTTTTGTCTTTCACCTCGGCACACTGACCTCCATTATCTTTACTTTTTCCTCGTTTTCCTTTGACTTCGGTACACTGCTTACTTTTCTTGTCCGCACCCTTTACACTGGAACATTGTTTCTTATCTTTCTTCTCACCTTTCTTCTTATCTTTTCCCTTTACTTCGGTGCATTGTTCACCCTTCTCTTTCTTAGTCTGTTCCACCTCGCCACATTTCCCTCCTTCCTCGATCTTCGGCTTCACTTGATCACATTTCCCTCCTTTTTCCTTCTTCTCCGGTCGTCTGCTGGGGGGTTTCCCACACCCTCCACAGCTGAACCTCTCCACTTGTAACAGCTGGGAAGGAAGCTGAGGGCGGATAGTCTGGGGATTGACAGGTGACCTGAGAAGCATTGGAAGGGTAGAAACTGCCCTCATCCTGCTGACCAACCTCAGTGCGTTCTGTGAAAAACATTACAGCTAATTAAAAAAGTCTTATTTATTTAGTTAATGGTTTGGTCTTAAATGTTTTTACACTTTTGTGTAGGTATGTTATGTTGTGTTATGTTAGGTAAGTTATTTTGTTGTTGGGAGTGTGACCCAGCCACCTCCACTTCCGTATTCTGCATTCACATTATGAAACTAAAAAAAAAAAAACATTATGATACTTTAATACTTTTAACACTTTACTACTTTTCAATCAAATGGCGACCATACAAAGTAGGTATTTTAATCCAAGTATGAATGGAGATGAGTGGCGCGATCTTGTAGTCTTGTTAGTGACTAAGACCGACATATTCCTTAGACATACTAAGGGACCTACAGTTTTTTTTATTGGAATCCGAACCACATTTTTCCTTGGTATATACGAATTGGTCTAATTATCAGGATAGTACTGTGGATAGTCGTAGTACTCACTCGTGCGGACGTAAATCCACACCAGGGAATATCGCAACCACAGTGCATGCCTGTAAATATCCACAATTCGTGACCTCCTAGTAGCTGGATTACAGGACGACGCCACCCGTCCCATATGATATAGAGTGGTGTGTATAAAATCGATATTTGATAAGTTTTAAATAACTAAAATAATGAATTATACTCACATGCATATTTGTTGAGGAGAATTTACTTGAAATTTTGAACACTTGGAACTTTCCTGGGATTGTCTTGATGTAAAATTTGTCTCCATGGAAACGTTTCCATTGTCAGTTTTATATCTAAGAAAGTACACAATATGATAACGAACCCCCTCTACCAGTCAGTTCATTGATCAATCACTTAATATTTTTGTGAATATTTTATGTTTTATTAGTGGTAAAAAGCTGATCAACTACTCTGTATATGTATTGCTTAATTCATTATCAAATTTGGCACACATTTTACACCCACTACAGAGTATTTTCACTCACTCTTTATTAATATTAAGGCACACCTTAATATTGATTAAGATGGTGTATTAAGATACACCCAGTAGCATATCCATCCTAATTCTTAGTAGTAATAACTTAGTGGTTTCCAAAACTTGTCAGTTAGTTGTCTTCATTTTTTACAAATACACAATTTTCATAAACATTAGATTTTTCCTTGAAAGAATTTTACTTCTTTTACCTTGTTCTCAGTTTACCAGTCAATTCACTATGGGTAAGTGTTTGAAACAATAATGCTTCTCTTAAGTGGATAGCTTGAAGAGCACCTCTATTGTTGAAGACAATAGCAGAGTGACAAGACAATATGATGGATGAGTTGACCAAGTTATAAACTTATCAATTTCTTCAGCATTGCTGAACCCTGACATCAGATGTTGAGTCAGCCAACATTAGTTCAGTCCTGACATACTCATAATGGCAAAGTTGAGCGGGGAGACATGAAATATAAGTTTTATACAATTCTATACTCGGTAGATTCCCTACATCTTGGTGCTTTAAGGGTTATGAAAAGCTTAATTGGCTAAGCTGTAATTAGGCTATTTTTTTGACGTTTAATTTTTTTTTCGGTTCTATACCGAAATTACTTTTAACATTACTACAGGCTAGGTCTAGAAGAGGTGAAATTATGACTCATTTTTAGATAAACTCTTTGGTGGCATTAGTGGGATTTGAACCCACAACTTCAGGGGCCGACGTCTTTACCACTACAGCAGCTCGCTTCCCATTTCTCTGACATGATTAATTAGTAAAATAAAACAAATAATCTTTATGTAACATGTGAAACAATTCTGCTCAAATAAATAGGCTAACCCATTATAGGATACAAAGGTGACCACAGAGCATGGGGCGACTCCCGAAGAGAGGAAGACATGGAAAGAAAATTCCTGAAAACCGCACTTATAAATTACTTAAAAAATATTCGTTTATAGCTGTTCACCTTACACTCTGTTAATTTCACTTGTTCGTAAATCATTGATCACAAATCCGTACCAAAAGTGGTAGAACAGTTAGTTGTAAACCATTTCAAGTCATGAACGGAAACCAAAACTAAATTATGAAACAGTTTGTTTGACCGACCAATTACTACAATACAAATACAACTAGTTTAATACTTTTTAATTTTTTAATATGTAATAGTACGTTTAATTTTGTAATACTCCAATCCGTTTACTGTAACTGCCTTTATGCCTGTACCACGACATATAAATACAAGGATAATCACATTAGTCTAAAAGTCTAACCATGATCGAAATAATGTTGCAAATGCAAATTGTATAATAAACAAACATTAGCTATCCATGTTGGGACATGAGATGTAAACATGTTTTCCACAGTTGTTTTTCCTACAATGACAAATGCACTGTCAACGTGAAAATACTGCGTTCAACTCAATGTTTAAAGCAGCAAATGATTCAAAACATGTCATTCAACTGTTTGTTACGTAAGTGAAATCACAAATTTTACCTCAAAAAAATATTACTATTTGGAAATTCTGCAATAGGTAATCAAGAAATATATTTCTAGATCAAATGTATAAGAAGTTTGAATCAGTTACTCAACATTTTAGCTTCGAGACAGATGTCACTGTTTAGTAACAAGTCTCTTATTTACTTTGCGAGAGGTAGAAATCTTATTATCTAACAAGAAAATCTATTTGTCTTTGAGAAATTCAAAACATTTCTCTTTGGCCTTATTGATATCAATTTTTCCGTGTTTTCTAAGTGGAATAAAATTATGTATATTTTAGTTTAGTAAAGTTTTAGTATTTTTCATAAATTTTGTATGCTTTTGTAAACAAACTATTCTTAGAAAATTATTTATTTGAAATATAGTAGTTGTTTAATTGATAAATATTATAATTTTTAAATAGGTACTTTAACATTTCTTGGAAGAAAGTCAGTACTAAAGGCATAACATACTTTCCACACGCTCTATGCACACTTTCTTTTGAGGCTACTTAAATAAAGGTATTACAGGGGAGATTTAATTTTGCAACCATTTTTAATTTAACATGCATAGAGAACATCAGTCAAACATTTAGTTATTTATTGCTTATGCAGTTTAATTATACATAAAAATCACTGTCTTTATGCTTTGATCGTTTTAGTTTGTTCTTTATAAAGGAATATTGCTATGTCTGTTGGAATACGAGTCATGATCCCGTGTGAACTTTCCAACTTCTTAGAAATGTTCTTCAAATTGATTCTTTAAGACAGTGGTGCAAACTTTAGTAGGTACAGTCATAGATAAAAAGTTGCTTAGTCTATGGTACAGTATTGTTAGTCTATGGTACAGTATTGTTAGTCTATGGTACAGTATTGTCTAAGTGAATCCTTGCGAGATTAGGACAGAGCGAGATGATCTGTGTAGCATCATTACTGAGTATCAGATGTTTTGTTTTAAGCAATTTATTAAAAGCCCTTCAATCAAAGATAAAATGCTACCGGTGTTTCTCAGGATCGAACCGGAGACAGATTACTGGGTGATCACTTACTCAACTACTGAGCTCATATAAGATAAGGACTGTAAAAAAAGAAGAACTTGGCGTTCTTTTACTTAGCTATCTTCAACATTCATGTTATATAGTTATAATACAATGGGTTAAATGGTAACCAGTTTAGCCACCTTAAAGTTCAAGCACATTTCCATCTACTAAATCAAAAACTAATATACTACTATTATTCCCATCCCACCCAGAACATCCGAAAAAGTGTTTTTAGTTTCCTTCCTAATTTGTATACAGGGGTTTCTTCTTAGTGACTGTAATCAAGGGTACCCTTTTTACATTTGATCTTAATAAACGTACATTTCAGGTTTCGAAACATCTTCTGTGCAAACAGAATCATATTACTTCCTAAGAGACGTAATCAGATATTGGTTATATTATTGATCCTAAATTTACGAACATGAGTTATGCAAGTCTAGAACCCAATTCCTAATACAATACAACTGAACAAATTAGACAGAGTTTTAATGAAATAAGTGTTTCAATTGAGAAATATCTCAGCCGACCATGATAAAGATAATTTTTAAGTAGCTTATTTGAAGGAACAACCAATTTGTAACTGTAGAAGTTTTAATCCAACTGTAATACAGTCTAATGAGCATTTGAATCCAATACTTGCTGTTCTTGAGTTCGGAGTCGGCGGAGTTGACGATTGCGGCTTAATCAAGTTTTAAGACTCTTGGAGATTTGTGGAAACTGAATGATAACTTATATTAATTTCCAAGCTCGATAATTTTAATTTAGCCTTTAATTGATAATTTTTTTAATGAGATTTTGTTTCTAAGACATAGAGCCCAACTATAAACCGATGGAAATCGTGAATTCAAAGGAATTACATTTAAAATAGACAAATACAATTCTACTAAAATGTGTTCACAGTATTTGAATCATTTATTGATAAAGTCTGAACAGAAGGAATTAGACTCTTAGGAAAATTTACTTCCACAACACAAAGGAAAAATAATATTTCCATAAGATGAAAATACCTAATTAATTAAATAATTTGTTAAGTTTTTTTTACGGAAAAGTCGTGTTTAAACCCCCATTCTATAGATTGTTAAACATTTTCATTTGCCATCAAACATTTTCTTTTAAAAATCTTAATCTACCGTAAATTATTTATAAAGCAACTATTTGAATAAATTAGCAAACCTAGCCCATTTTAACTGGAAGTTTTTTCAATATTTAGTACAGCATAAAAAAATATTTGTCTATACATTTTTTGTTTTACTACTGTAACATATTATTTGTGATACTGGGGTAGTTTTTTGTTTTGTTGTTTCACGTATAACATTTTGAAATTGTATTTATTCTATATTAGGCTTTTAAATTAAACGTAAAATGACATTTGTGTTTCTTGTACATATCAGAAATTCCAAGTACTCTCTGAACATACCATGATTTACATGAGGTGCAGATTAGATTCAATATTATTATGAATTGATTTATTATAGTCTGTATGATAAAACCTGTCTCCTGACTCTTTCAGTCTGGCCAGTCCCCAGTTTGCAGGAGATTCAGGTGACAGGTTCCATCATACAGACTATAATTTTTATTCAGCTGTCAATGTTGTATGGGTTTTGTGTGATTACTTTCTTTATAGCTAAAATGTTACCGTACCAAAGTTCTGCTGACTGTAAAATGATACACAACATTTTCTCAAAATCATTTTTAGGGAAAAGTCACAAAATCAAGGACAAAGGATCAACAACAGTTTACGATTACGACAAAGCCAAGATGATCATGTATCACAAAGGGGTAAGATATCAAACCTGAGATAACCTCAATAAGTACTTCCAATCACCTCTAAACCTTACCTTAAAGCGGTTCTCACCTTTAGCACAACAATATACTGTTCTAAGACCAGAGTCAAAAACTTTGTTCTTGTAATAGCATGCAAGAGATATTAGAAAATAATATACTTGAAGAACTGCAATACAAATTTTTGTTTTCACAAAAATGTATATTGTAATTTTTTTGCACAATATAATTCAATAATTCAGTTTAGTTTTTGCGAAAAGATTTATTATCAGGACTTATGTGATTATGACCAAAGGGTAACAAACACTACGAGGAGACCTATAAGGGGGAGGCCATTGTTTTATGTTTATTAAAATTGTAATTGTTCAATGTCCTATTGAAGTTAGTTTGGTTAATTTCTAATAAGTCTATGTGCGAATACATTATTGACAAATTATTTCTATTTACTACACATGTTTCTTCGTCGAAAAAAAATAAATTCCTTTGC